AAATAGTTTGCTAAAATAGAACGAAATCTTCTGCCGAAAATGCCCTTGAAGATTATCGACCACTGGAAGTCGATGGGTGAAGGTTTCATGGCATAAAAAGTCTTTAGCTGACCCCTGAGAATCGAATCCAGGGTGTCCTCATACTTTGGTGCGCACTGTAAGGTCCTGGTAGATTTTTTGTGTAGGAACTGATCAAATTTATAGCGCTTACGGTTCTATTCAACTGGGAAAAAGGCTGCAATTGAAATATTTCACTACGATAATGATCACTAAGTGAGGAAATGGTGAGCTCTGCAGAACGACATATACATATTCCTGAAATTCAGTCGAACAAGAGAAGTCGAACATATTCCTAAAAAACAATGATGCTTCATCTGCATCACGGGATACGCAATGGAGTTACACATAGTCCAACATTTTATGGGGTCTCAATGTCACCATCTTGGTTGGACCCCCGCTGGCCGAATTTCTCAAGCATGGTATCCGCTTGAGCTTTCAGCAGTCACTTGGTGACTGCGGAAATGTGAGCTTCTGATTATGTGTATTTTTCAAATAAAGTTCATATACTTCACCAGAAATTTCTTCATTGGACATAGAACCGCTTAGCACTAGTAATCTCATACGCTGGAACAGCAGGAAGGAGGCGCTCCTACTAACTCGATTTTGATGGAATTTGCATACACTGCAACAGCCCAACGGGATAATTTCATGCTGGGCGGGTCTTTGGTTGCTCTAGAACAAAGATCCCCATTCGCTCGGAAATTTGGAATTTTCAGCATCTATTAGATGGCTGTCCATCCGGCTCATCGCAAGTAATGAAATGGAACATAATTGTTATGAACGCTGAAAGGGTTGATGTCACACTTTAAGATGTCCTTCCACTTGACCCTAGCGAGCAAGCTTCGAACGTCAGAGCTCACGGCAATTTAAATTGTGAATTATGATGAACCTGTACGTGAACCACACAAAAACACTTAAGGTGTTTGTCTGGTCCTCGAAGTCTTTGTCAGGATTGCGGAATCTCAGATTTTTTTCCCATCCTGAAGACTGTCGAATCCAACAGCACTTAGGTGTGATATACAGTTGGTGGTAGAATAGTGCTACTAGTACACTTCTCTTGAGGGTAACAAGCGCTACAGTCTTCAGTGGACTGGCACTGCGTGGGACCTTGCCTTTGATTTCCCTTACACTTTACTTTACTGCCGACTATCCTCGCATCTATTCCTTTCCTTTTACTACGAGCAGAGAAGCTCCTTCACAATCTTCGTCAGAA